GGGGGGGGGGGGTTGACCTGTATGTCACAGAGTCGCTCATTTGCTCAGAACTACTAAACATCTCAAATGATGTATGTAGTTGAAGTTTTGGCGGTAAAGATTGAAAACCAAAACCTTGTCGTTGTGGTTGTGTACAAGCCTCCAGATGCAACTTCCCAGCATTTCCGGAAGCAGCTTGTGAAAATTGACCACTATCTGGAAAATCTCCCAACTCCTGCCCCAAACATCTTGCTACAAGGAGATTTCAACTTGAGACACTTAAAATGGAGGAGTGTAGCAAATACCATTTTAGCAAAGATCACCCCAGGAGGCAGCTCAGATGAAAATTCACACACACGAGCTATTAAATCTCTGCACCAAATTCACCTTAAACTAGCAAATATTAGAGTCTGCAAGACTAGAAAATATGCTGGACCTCATCTTCACTAACAACAACGATCTGATACATAATATAACCATATCAAAGACAATACACTCAGATCACAACATAACAGAGGTACAGACATGTATACACAGGGCTCCTGACCAGCAAAATGTGATCAGTCATGAGGGTGTCTTCACAAAATTCAATTTCAATAACAAAAACACACTGGGAACAAGACAACCATGTCCTAAATGAAACACGCTGGGAAGATATCCTAAACAACACAGATCTGAACCTTTGCCTAGAAAAAATAAACTGTGGTTCTTGAGATCTGTTCAAGGCACATTCCATTAAGAAAAAGAAAGAGAAGATGCAAACTAGAAAGAGAAAGTTGCTCCTTATACAGATGAAGGTGAAGAGTCACAGAGCTGCTCAGAGGGGCCAATATATCTGAAATATGAAGGGAGGAACTGGTTAATGAAATTGCAAATATCAAACTTAAGCTAAAGGAATCTTACAGGAGACAAGAATCACTGGAAGAACTCAAAGCCATAAAAAAAATAGAAAAAACAAAAACAAAATACTTTTTCTCTTATGCCAAATCTAAGGGAAAAACAACATCCAGCATTGGGCCCCTGCTTAGGTGAGATGTAACATACACAGATGACAGCCAAGAAATGAGTGAGATACTAAAGTCCCAGTATGACTCAGTGTTCAGCAAGCTGCTGCCCAGACTAAGGGTCGACAATCCAAATGAATTCTTTATGAACGAGACCCAAAATTTGGCCATCTCAAAAATCTAGGATATTATCCTAACACCACAAGACTTTGAAAAGGAAATAAATGATATGCCCATGCACTCTGCCCCAGGCCCAGACACATGGAACTCCATGTTCATCAAGAACTGCAAGAAGCCCTTGTTGCATGCCTTCAGTATTCTATGGAGAGGGAGCATGGACACAGGGGTCATCCCACATTCACTAAAAACAACAGACATAGCCCCACTCTATGAAGGGGGCAGTAAAGCAATTGCAAAGAACTACAGACCGATAGCACTAACATCCCATATCATAAAAATCTTTGAAAGGGTTCTAAGAAGCAAGATTGTCAACCACCTAGATACCCATCAATTACACAGCCCAGGGCAACATGAGTTTAGAGCAGGTTGCTCCTGCCTGTCCCAGTTACTGGATCACTATGACAAAGTCCTGGATGCTGTAGAGGATAGACAAAATACAGATGTAGTATATACAGACTTTGCAAAAGCTTTCAACAAGTGTGACCATGGTGTAATAGCACACAAAATGCATGATAAAGGAATAACAGGAAGAGTTGGTAGATGGATCTATAACTTCCTGACAAACAGAACACAAAGAGTAATAGTAAACAGAGTAAAGTCTGAGGCAGCTATGGTGAAAAGCTCTGTTCCACAAGGTACAGTACTCACTCCCAGTCTATTCCTCATCCTCATATCTGACATAGACAGAGATGTAAGCCATAGCTCCGTGTCTTCCTTTGTGGATGACAGTGACCTCCACTGAAGACACCGCAAGACTCTGATCAGGCATAAACCAAATTGAAATTGAAATTGAAACTGAAATGTTTATTTCTCTGTAGAGATTACAATGTGGGGTTTACATATTATACAATATTAATTACAATGTTTTGCAAGATTTCAGGTACGTCTTGCTACTTCTTCTTACACTTAGGTCACACTACACATACATGTACAAGCATATATATATGTACACACCCCTCTGGGTTTTCTTCTATTTTCTTACTAGTTCTTGTTCTTGTTTATTTCCTGTTCTCTCCATGGAGAAGTGGAACAGAATTCTTCCTCCGTAAGCCATGCGTGTTGTAAGAGGCGACTAAAATGCCGGGAGCAAGGGGCTAGTAACCCCTTCTCCTGTATATATTACTACATGTAAAAGGAGAAGTTTTTGTTTTTCCTCTTGGGCCACCCCGTCTCGGTGGGATACGGCCGGTATGTTGAAAGAAAAAGAAGAATTACAATGTTTGGTTTGCATACAAAATATTAATCACAAAGAAGGCAGCTGGCATGCCTAGGCATTTTGGGCAGACTAACACTAATTCTTGCTCTATATTGACACAGGTTATGGAGCATACTGCTATTAAAATTAGGTAACTGTAGTGATTAAATAGATTTACAATTGTGAGGTAGTTCAAAACATTTAAGAGTATTACAATTTGTAAATTTAGTAATGAGAATGGTTTTGTCTTGACATGATACACAGTTTCTATTAGAGTTCCTACACTGGAGTATCTAAGGCAAACTTATGACTAGCTTAAGAATTAATAGGCAATGGCTATATTCGGAATTTTATGTTCACAGTCATTTGGGCGAGTGTAAGTGTAAATTAGGGGGAATCACAGATACTGAGAGTATTGGATGAGTTCTGGATGTGTGTATGACACGAGTAAGAGAATAGGTGGTTTTCATGTAGTTAGCTGATGGTGGGGTGTGTTTGGGAGATAAGATTTTTTTAACGGTAGTTTTGAAAATGGTGGTTGAGTCTGCAGTTCTAGAATTTTCAGGCAGGGAGTTCCAGATTTTAGGCCCTTTTATGCACATTGAATTTTTGTATAGATTTAGCCGGACACGCGGAATGCCATAGAGATTCTTGTGTCTGGTATTGTGCCTACGGGTCCTGTCACAACTATCAGGAAAGTGTTTTAGTTCATGGTTAATACTGGAATTTATGGTTCTGTAAATGTAGGTTGCACAGTAGTAAGTGTGGATGTTCTGTACAGTGAGTAAGTTTAGGTCTTTGAAGATTGGGGAGGGGGGGAATTGCATTGCCTAGTATTGGATTGCTTGATAATTCTTACTGCGGCTTTTTGTTGAGTTATTATTGGCCTTAGGTGGGTTGCTGCTGTTGCTCCCCAAGCACAAATGGCATATGTGAGGTAGGGATAGATGAGTGAATAGTATAATGTGAGTAGGGCTGATTGTGGTACGTAGTAACGTATCTTGGAGAGGATCCCAACCGTTATGGGTACTTTCTTTTATGTGTTGGATATGGGAGCTGAATTTCAGGTTGTTGTCAAGGTGCAGGCCCAGGAATTTGCCCTCATTATCTGTAGCAATAAGAGTGTTGTCAATCTTAATGTTGAGCTGTGCAACACCTGCTCTGTTACCAAACATAATATAGAAAGTTTTGTCGGTGTTAAGTATAAGTTTATTGGCAGTCATCCAGGTTGATATTTTTAGTAGCTCTTTGTTAACAATGATGTTGAGTGAAGCAAGATTTGGGTGGGAGATGACATAAGTAGTGTCATCTGCAAAGAGAATTGATCTCAGGTGTTGTGGTATGCTGGGAAGATCATTGATGTATAAGAGGAAGAGCAGGGGACCAAGGACACTTCCCTGTGGCACTCCAGTATCAAGTGGTTGTGTTGATGAGGTTGTGTCCTTAATGGAGAGGTACTGATACCTGTTAGTAAAGTATTATTTGAAATATATAAGTGCATGGCCTCTTATACCGTAATAGTAAAGTTTGTGGAGTAGGATGCTGTGGTCACTGTATCAAAAGCTTTCCTGAAGTCAATAAAGAGTCCTAATGGATATTCCTTATCCATTAGGACTCAAATGGGCCACTCAAAACTATATGAAGTTCAATGTAGAGAAATTTTAACTACTCAGATATGGAAAACTTGAGGAAATTAAAACTGTATCAGGGTATACAACAAATTCTAACCATACAATAGAGCAAAAATAATGTGAAGGATCTGGGAGTGATAATGTCAGAGGATCTCGCCTTCAAAGACAACAACAATGTATCTACCCCATCTGCTACGAAAATGATAGGATGGACATTGAGAACCTTCAAAACTAGGGACGCTAAGCCCATGATTCTCTTCAAATCGCTTGTTCTCCCTAGGCTGGAATACTGCTGTACACTAATGGCCCCCTTCAAGGCAGGGGAAATTGTTGACCTGGAGAGTGTACAAAGAACTTTCATGACACACATAAGTATGATAAGGCACCTAAATTATTGGGAACTGTTGAAGGTCCTTGATCTGTATTGCCTGGAGTGCAGGCAAGAGAGATATATGATAATATACACTTGGAAAATCCTATAGGGATTAGTACCAAACTTGCACATGAAAATCACTCCCTATGAAAGCAAAAGACTCAGCAGGAGATGCAACATTCCTCCAATGAAAAGCAGGGGCACCACGAGTATACCGAGATACAACACAATGTGTCCGGGGCCCAAGACTGTTCAACTGCCTCCCAGCATACATAAGGGGGATTACCAATAAACCACTGGCTGTCTTCAAGAAGGCACTTGACAGGCACCTAAAGTCAGTACCTGACCAATCAGGCTGTGGTTTGTATGTCAGTTTGCATGCAGCCAGCAGTAACAGCCTGGTTGATCGGACCCTGACCTACCTTGAGGCCTGGTCTTGAGCCGGGCTGTGGGGGCATTGGCCCCCGAAGCCCTCTCCAGGTAAACTGTATATACATTCTTGTGTAGTACAAGGTATTAGCACCTTCCTGGTGGCACATGCCTTTGGACTTTTCCTTACACTTATTCTCTCTCGAGCCAAACTTGTAATTTTTAATTGTTAAATGTAACAGTAATATACACACACAAAAAAAACTTACATTTGTATTTTCTATTTTTAGAATGTTGGGTTAAGTGTTCTGACAAGTTGAACTTCTTGTGTGAACTAAATGGGCAGTGAGGGCACTTGTGTGTCTTGCTCTCCTGATGAGTAACCCGGTGTTCCAGGAGGTGGTAGATGCGCTTGAAGGATGCATCACCTGAACAAATGTAAGAATGATGTTGAGGATAAGAAAGAAAAGGACAGAAGTAATGGTAATAATGAGGATAAAAAAGGATAGAAGAGAAAACAGATGTACATAGCTGAGCACTAATGCATCTTAAGTTCTATAATTCATTCTTATTCTTATGAAAGTTTACAATATTTTATTAAAGTTGGTAGAATTACTGACAATATGGTATGTAAAAGGACACAAGTGCAACTAATGTGACATTTTATTGTGGCAACGTTTCACTCTTCAGAAGCTTTATCAAGCCTTTACAAACAATACATGAGGTGTAATACTAGTGGTAGTAGTAATACATGAGGCAGAACAATCAACTTGCACATGATTAATAGGTTATAAAAGCTATTACAGTGGAACCTCTACTTACGAGTTTAATCCGTTCCATGACCTTGCTTGCATCTGGATTTGTGCATTTACAGAGTCAATTTTCCTCATTTAACCCTTAAACTGTCCACACGCAGATATACAGTCAAGTGCAGTGGGCTACGAATGTAGATCAACGTTTTATTTTTCATTCCTTCAAATTTGGTGCGATAGGCCTGAGTCACCTAGACATGAAAGAATGGGTCTGTGCACTCAGTGTGCGCACTATGAAAAAAATCGGGACCACTTGGTACTTTGTGGGAGCACCAGTTCCACTGAGCGCCAGCTAGAGCAAATAGTGTGGCAAACACTAGTGATTCATCGATGTCGTGTCATATTAACACTCACATTTTTAAGAGGAAAGTAAAAATAAGTTAGATAAATGCATGAGTGGGTGTGGGTGGGTGCGAGTTGGACCTGACTAGCTTGTGCTACTGGGTCAGATGTCGTGCTCCTTCTTTCAGTGGATGTGACCTGACTAGGTGGGCCATTGGTCTAAGCCAGGAGGTGACATGGACCTGCTGTGCATGAGCCAGTAGACCTGCTGCAGTGTTCCTTCTTTCTTATGTTCTTATGTATTCGGCTGGCTAGCTGGCTGGCTTTGGCTGTCTCTGTCTGTATCTGTCTATATCTCTATCTATATCTCTGTCTATCTATATCTCTGTCTATCTATATCTCTGTCTATCTATATCTCTATCTATATCTCTGTCTATCTGTCTGCATCTCTATCTGTCTATATCACTGTCTATTTGTATCTCTGTCTATATCTCTCTCTCTCACATGTACTCATAAATACAATTATACATGATGTAAATTACCTAGGATAACCCAAAAATTCCAGGCCAAGTGCTGTACATTGTTTGTTGATATAAGACATAAATAAACATGACACAAATAATAGCAGTGTCACTTGCTCAGCAATCAGGGAACGGCACATACACCACAAACCAACAGGTTTACTAGCCGCTCCCTGAGATACACAGGCTGACAGAAAGACAGATAAGCAGAACTAGACAGATTGATAAGTAGAGCTAGGCAGACAGACAGATAGATGTACAGATAGATATATATACAGATAGACAGACAGTTGTACAGATAGACAGATAGTGGTCAGTACGCTGAGGTCAGTGGTCATGTGTGGTCATACCTGCCTAAGCTCTTGGGAGCTAGCGTGGGGTGTTACCAAGCACCATGGCTTGTTGTAGTGTTTTAGAATCTCAGGTTCAAGTGTTGAAGAAGGAGATTCTACTTCTTCAGGAGGAAAATAGGAGGCTGAAGCTTCGCATAGATGAGTTTGGGATCGAGTGTGAGACGGATTTAGCTGGTAAGAAGGAAATGGTCGCCAGCAGTGATAGTGGAAGCCGCTTTAAGTGGCAAGTGGTTCACAGTTCAGGAAGAAGGAAGATGAGGAAAGTTAATAGAGAAGATGTGAAGGTAGGAAATTGATTCTCTGTTCTCCAAGATGAGTGTATTTCAGGGGTTAGTGAGGTTTTAGGTACCATTGATTCCCCTGCTAATCAAGGTAAGAATATTTTAATAGTAGGAGATTCTCAGGTAAGATATATGGACCGTGCATTTTGTAACAGAGACAGAAAGGTCAGATAGAGAGTGTGCCTTCCTGGAGCTGGTGTTGGTGACATAGTCAACAGGTTGGATAATATTATGGCAGGTAATGGGAACAAGCCCATTATCTGTCTTAGTGCTGGGGGTAATGACACTGGGAAGGGCAGGAGAGAAGAGCTGCTGGATAAGTACAAGTCAGCCATAGAAGTAGTTAGGTCTCAGGGAGGGATCCCAGTCATATGTAGCATCTTGCCTAGAAAGGGAGTGGGCAATGAATGGATGTCTAGGGCAACTGGTATAAATTGCTGGCTAGACAGGTACTGCAAGGAACTTGCAATCCCATTCATTGATAACTGGGACCTATTCTTTGGCAAACGTGATATGTATGCAAGGGATGGGGTTCATCTCTCTGGGGATGGAGTGGTTGCATTAGCCAATTCAATTGAGAGGGTAATTGATGACTTGTCTAGGAATTTAAACTGATAGATTATAGAGGTATGGGTGTTTGTGGGAAACAATCAGGCTACAGTATTAGGGTTAAAAGCAGCAGCTATTACCGGGATACCTCAGGGATATGTTTAAAAAATATTCAAAATAAATTTGCTAGTAATGGCAAATCAATTGATCAACAAAGATAATAGAGGGCAACGAGTGACTAGCTCCCTTAAGGTATACTACACAAATAGTAGGAGTCTAATAAATAAGATAGATGAGCTAAGATTACTTGCAAGTGTAGGTAATATAGATATTATTGGTATAACAGAGACCTGGTTCAACCTGAAAGACAGAGAAATGCCTTCTGAATGCAACATACAGGGTTATAAATGATTCCGCACTGATAGGGTCAACAGGAAGGGTGGTGGAGTGGCGATGTATTTTTTTTTTTTAACAAGTCGGCCGTCTCCCACTGAGGCAGGGTGACCCAAAAAGAAAGAAAATCCCCAAAAAGAAAAATACTTTCATCATCATTCAACATCATAATTCATGTATTAGACATGATATAAGATTAGAAACATTGAACACAGAATCTGTTTGGCTACAGTTTCTCGAGGGACGTGACAAATTAATTTTAGGTGTTATTTATAGGCCCCTAAACCTTGACAGGAAGTTCAGTAAGCTGTTATGGGACGAAATTCACAAGGCATCTAGATATGAAAATGTTGTGATAATGGGAGATTTTAACTTTAGACAAATTGATTGGAACAATATGACAGGAAATCATGAGTCTAATGACTTTCTTGATACGGTTCAGGACTGCTTTTTAGAACAGGTTGTGACAGAACCAACTAGAGGAAACAATCTGCTTGACTTGGTTCTTGCCAACAAAGAGTCACTAATTAATAATCTTGAGGTTAATGATGAGCTTGGGGAAAGTGATCACAAATCACTTAGTTTCAATACACTATCATGGAATTACCCAGATAACTGCAATCAAATCTCTGTCCTAGATTGTCGCTTGGCCAACTTCATGGGACTGAAAAATTACCTGGGTGGGCTAAATTGGGATGTCCTGATTATGGGTCAGGTAGGTGATCTTGGTTGCCAAAATGACGTTTTTCAGAGCATAGTTCTAGCTGCCAGGACAACTTTTGTTCTGTGTAGGGAAATTAGATCTAACAAAAATGATCCCAAATGGATGAACAATAGATTAAAACATCTCGTTGGCCAAAAGAGAGGCATATATAGGCATATCAAAAGAGGGGATGGGCAGTTAAGAAATCAATATATTCAATTAGAGAGAGAAATAAAGAAAGGAATAAGAAAAGCAAAAAGGGATTATGAGGCTAAGGTTGCAAGGGATTCAAAGACTAACCCAAAAGGGTTCTTTCTGGTATACAGAAGTAAGATTAGAGACAAGATTGGCCCACTTAAAGAGTAACTCTGGTCAGATCACTGACAGTGATAAGGATGTGTGTGAAATTCTCAATACCTACTTCCTCTCAGTTTTCACCCAGGAAAATGCTAGCGATATTCCTGAAATAACAGATTAAGTAGAACAGGACGATAATAAACTATGCATGATTGCGGTAACTAGTGACATGGTCCTCAGACAAATAGAGAAGCTAAAACCTAACAAATCCCCAGGCCCTGATGAACTGTTTGCAAGGGTGTTAAAGGAATGTAAAGAGGAACTTAGCATACCTTTGGCTAATCTTTTTAACATATCACTACAAACTGGCATAGTGCCTGATAAGTGGAAAATGGCAAATGTAATACCTATTTACAAGGCAGGTGACAGGTCCTTGGCTTCGAACTATAGACCAATAAGCCTTACCTCCATAGTGGGAAAATTTATGGAATCAATAATTGCCGAAGCAATTTGTAGCCATCGTGATAGGCACAGATTGATTAAGGAATCTCAACACAGTTTTACAAAGGGGTGTTCCTGTCTTACGAATCTACTAACATTTTTAACTAAGGTGTTTGAGGAGGTAGATCATGGTAATGAATATGATATTGTGTATATGGACTTCAGTAAAGCTTTCGATAGAGTTCTACATCAGAGGCTATTGAGGAAACTTCAGGCACACGGAATAGGAGGAGAAATTTTTTCCTGGGTAGAGGCATGGTTGACAAATAGGCAGCAGAGAGTTTGCATAAATGGGGAGAAATCAGAATGGGGGCACGTCACAAGCGTTTCTCAGAGGTCAGTGTTGGGCCTGTTGTTGTTCACAATTTACATAAACGACATACATGAGGGAATAAATAGCGAGATAAGCAAATTTGCTGATGACACCAAAATAGGCCGTCCAATTCATTCTAATGAGGACACTAGAGCACTCCAGGATGATTTGAATAGACTGCTGCAATGGTCGGAGAAGTGGCAGATGCAGTTTAATAAAGACAAATGCAAAGTTCTAAATGTTGGACAGGAAAATAGCCATGTCACATATAAACTAAATAATGTAGATCTTAATACTACTGATTGCGAAAAGGATTTAGGAGTTCTGGTTAGCAGTAATCTAAAACCAAGACAACAGTGCATTAGTGTTTGCAATAAAGTTAACAGAATTCTTGGCTTCATATCTAGAAGTATAAATAATAGA